GTCAGGCTGACATCCCTATATCCCTGCCTGGGCCTTTGGCTGGAGGAAAAGGAGGCAACAAGCGGCAACAACAGCCAAAATTTGGGCTGCTCTTTGGACCAGGCCTAGGTCTGTTCCTGAGGAGCTGCCCAAGTGCTGGGCTTGTCCCCAGGGCAGGTGAAACGACCTTTCCTAGGCCTGCGCCTTGGCTGCCTTGTGGTGAGTATTGCCATTTATTAGACCCAGCGAGCAAGATTAATTACATTTATTGCCAGATCTGACCCACACTGTGCAGGTAACGTACCATGTTCTTGAGATGGTTTTAAAACCAACCTTTTAAAATATATCTCTTTTCAGAGACACACACTTTTGAAACGTCTAGATTTAGGTGGAAAGAAAGAGAACTCAAAAAGCTTTATTTTATAAAAGATAAAGCTATAAAAGCTTTATTTTATCACAGAATCAAAATGCCCAAGCATTTGTGGGGTAGCAGGCTGGGCTGGCAGGGGCTTCTGTGTCCCTCAGCACCGGTATAGAAGATATGGGTGTTTTCTGTGGCTGCACATCTATACCTGCAAATAAGGCTTTTTGTAATTAGGTGTTGTTCACCCATCTTCCCATATAATAAACGTTTAAAAAATCCTGCTAAAAAGCCTTTAAATAAATTTGGTTTTAGTGCAGTGGGGCCAGGATAAAGTCCCTTTTCCGCTTTTTCAGCACTTGAGCTAGAATGAGAGAGGCTCATCCATGGTAGACAGACAGGTCATAGTGGCAACCTCGAAGATTGCTTTGTTGTTTACTTTCCATTTTCTTCTGAATTGCTTTTATTTTAGAAAGCAAGAAGGTGATTATGGACAAAAAACCACCAAACATTAAAAAATAAAAAAAGAAAACTGAAAACTGGTAATATCCAGTTGGACAGGGACATGGGGAATCATGGTGGTACTTGCCTTGCCACCAGAACATCTCTAAAACATCAAAATTTGTCCCAGAGGAGGAAAAAAGTCTTTCCCAGTCTTTGTTAGAATAGGAAAAGTGCAGAAAACTATTTTTCATTTTTAATTTATAATATTTTGTTCTCTGCCTTTAGTTGTTAGGGGAGCTCCTCAGAGAAGGGAAATGAGGATTCTCAGGCAAACATCTGCCTTTATAAATGGAAGAATACTTGGTGAAGTATCTCAAACTAGAGGTCCATTGCTCTTTGAGGGAAAAAATATTAGCACAAAACACAGGAAAGACATACAACAGTTTGCCCGGCTCAGAGACACTTTGCACACTTTCATTGCAAGGTGTTTGGAGCTGTCTTTGCTGCGAGAGAAAGAATTGTACATTAGGCTAAATGAAGAAGTGCTGGAGCAATAACTGATGGCTACGCAAGTGGGGTTGTTGGGAGAGGCTGGGCAAGGTGGCTGCTGAGCACAGCAGCCTTCCAGACTGCAAATAGAAAAATAGCAAGAAAAAGGAAAAGAAAATGCTCCAATGACATGAGTTGCAAGCTTCATCAGCGCTGCAGCTTCCCTTGCCTCTTGGTAATGATCTCTCTTCAGTCACAGGGAGACACAAAATTAAAAAAAAAAATCTCCTCAACATGTTACAGTGCAAGAGGCTGAAAATATATATATATATATGTAAATATATAATCTAGACAAAATCCAGATCATGAAATCTCATGGCATCGATAATATTCACACGCTGTCCTGTATAATAATCTTTCCTCCCAGTGCATAGCACCATGGATCACGTAACCTTAACAGGCTGTGACAATTTCAGGATTTTCCCAGGCAAAAAGCATGCATTTCTTTTCATATGCCAGAATATTTGACACAAATGGATCTTCTAAACGCATAAACCTGGTAGTGGCAAATATGTGTGAGGACAGGATGCTTCGCTAATATTTGCTCGTTGGGTTTATGACAAGGTGTTGCTGCATTTGCAGGGCTGAGTCTCCAATGCTGCCTTGCACACAACTTGGAAATGCTTCCCCACGATGTGATATTTTTTGGGTTAAGTCAGAAGCGCCCCATAAAAATGCTCCGGAGAAAGATGGGACTAAATTCAGTGAAGTCGGAACTGAAAGAAGAACTTGTAGTTGAGGTCAGTTGATATGAGGATACATAAGAGAAGAGAGAAACCAAGGGAAAGTCAAGACATTCTCTTGAAGGGAAGGTTTGTAGATAATATATTTGGGGTGGATTTTTACATTGTTTTACTTATGTTGGAAAATTTGAAACAACATGCGAAAATTCAAAGGATTTGTCCTGCTTCACCACTGACCTGCTTTCTTCCTTCTCCTTCACATCTCCTTTGTCCTACAGACGTCTTGTTTTAACGTGGTGGCAGCTTCCAGGGCACCGTCCATCCTATGGGACTGAGCGTGCTCTTCCTCAGCTTGTCGAAAGAGAGACTGTGACAGCAGGAACCTTGGGTGAGTGCTATAATGAACCTTCCCTTGTGTATTTTCAGTTGATTTTTGGGAGGAGTTGCTTTTGGCAAAAGTCAAGTCATGATTGCACATCCAAGTGCTGCAAGGCCCATCCAGCCTTTGGAATATGGCAGTGCAGGTCTGTAGAAATCATCTCTAGATCATCTCTAGCTATTTTTTTTTCTATAGGGCTGTTTTGCTTTGGCACGGCCCCAGATTTTGCTTTAGCTCATGGCCGTGGGGCTAAACTCCACCCAGGACATGGGCTGGACATAGGGCTCTATAGGATGAGTTACCCCCTGGCCCACTCGAGCCCCATGTATTTAGCTAAGCTGGACCAGAGACACAAATGCAAGAGGCAGCTGCAGCTGAGCGTGCACCACTGCCCCTCTGCGCATTAACCTTTGGGTTTTATAGATCCCTGAATTTGGCACCTGCTTTCTAACCTGCTCGTCTGGGCAGGCTCATGGTCCTTCCCATTCCCAGCATTTGCATCTACATTGATTTTCCTAGAGGAGCTCGATTCTTGCCCAGAGTATACATTTTCTCGAGCTTCTTCATCTGTCTTGAGAAATAAACACTATTTTGGGAGTGGTGTGTGCGTGTGGTGGGGGAGGAGATCCTTTCTCCTGGAGGAAACTGCCTTTTTCCTTAACAGTAAGAAGAAACCAGCAGGTTGCCCCACAGCTGCTGACTTTAAATAAGTTATTGCCAGCCTTGGAGAGCCTCCGCCTGCCCGAGGGCTGCTGCACGAGGGCTTTGCCCACCAGCTGGGCCCAACAACTGCTACTTGGGCAGTTCTGAGCCAAAACCAGCAGCACCGCAGGCTCTTGCCTGTGACATGCATCAGAGGCATCAGACGCAACTGCAGAGCAAGATCTCCCGTGGTGAGAGGTGCGGATTTGCGGTGTCAGCGCTTCGTGGACAACCATTCATCTTGTGCTTCTGGAGCGGCGTTTTGGTCGGTTGGTTGCTCGGCCTCGGTGAGGAAGCCTCCTGCTCGGAAGATGCCCGGTGCCGGCCTTGCACAGCGCGTGGTGGAGACAAAGGTGGTGCCCGGGGCAGCTCGTGCACCTGGGCCCTGCCAGGGCACCTTCATCCAGCGCGTGGACGCCTGCACCAGGGCAGGAGCAGGGTGCTTTGGAAGCCACCTCTGCACTTACCCAGCTGCCAGATGGACCTGGATGCTGATCCTGGACGTCACTGAGCTTCACGTGTGCCCATCCTCTGGCCACCAGCACCATCGGCTCCTCCACCCGGATCCAGACCCAAACGTGCCGTCGCTGACGTTCAGGACGGGTCTGCTCCGTGTTCCCCTGATGAGCTGGCCGATGTTTTCCTCTCTGTTTTGGAGACCTTGTGCCTTCCCCTTCCTCTGTGTCACTAACTCTTGTTTGTTGCTGTTTGATTTTCCTCCCACAGAGGGCTGATTTATTAATAGGAAGACTGCAAGCAATAACAAATCCCTCTAGTTATTTAGCTTAGCTTGACTTCTTGCTCTCCTTTGTTAGTTAAATTAAATGCAATCTAAAGCTACAGGAACCATACTTCTAATTTTGAGAGCTGTAATTATTAGTAGCTATATTTACTGTCTGAACTTGTAACCAGATTTAAATTAGTGCATTATCAGCATGGGGAAGAAAAGAGGCTGAATTCAGTAATGCAGTTTAACCCACGCTGCATGGAGCCTCTCTTCCCTTTTCAAGCCAAGATAAGGTTTATTTACAGATTTCTGGTGAGCCTTTCGTTCACTGTACACGCAAGCCTGCAGAAGAGCTAAGCCCAAGCCCTGTGTCCCTGAGACAAGTTCCTGAGTAGAGATTGGGTGAAAAATACCTAATTTCACCATTTTACAGCAACAGTCAAGAAGATGGATTTTTATCCTTTTCTACTGATTTCAAATGGGAAGCACTTCCTTAGTGCACTGATTATTTGTGCCTTTAGCAAGTCTGTTCACCAGTATATGAAAAAAAATGCAACTAGCAATATTTCTTTCTTATTACTTCAACCGCAGACTCGCTTATTTTGATGCAAACAGAATGCATTGATAAACGCTTGGGCAAGATTGTTCCTAGTGCACTGGCACTTTTGCCACGTGCCTGTGAAGCCCATGCACTACCTTTGAAGACAAGGAGAGCTTCAGCACCGTGGCACGGGAGCCGGCACAGCCCCTCTGCGCTGGGCGTCAAAGGGGCAGCAGACAGGGAAGGAGGGATCGGGGCTGGCAGCCGGGAGCGCCCTGCGCGCGTGTCCGTGCACGGGTGGGTGTGCGTGTGTCTGCACGGGTGCGCGCGTGTCTCCGCACGGGTGGGTGTGCGTGTGCGTGGCACATAAGCGCAGGGCGGCTCGTGGCCGCTGCGGCTCCGTCCTTGGCGAGCGCCACGGCAGCCAGAGCCACCCGCGCGCCGCGGTTCCCTCCGCTCCAGCGCTGCAGCCCCGAGCGGCGGCTCCAGCCCCGTGCTGGCCACTTGCCAGGACTCGCCGGGCTCGCCGGCTCTTTCTGTTTTTAATTATTTCCCCCCTCCCTTTCTCGGAGGTTTTCTGATGCCGATAGAGCGAGCGCGCCTGCAGCTCCGCTCCTGCCTGCGCTGCCGCCCGCGGCCCCCGCCGCCCTGCCCGGAGACCCCGCCATGCGGCTGGTAACGTATGGAATTCCCTGAGCGCCTCCCGGATGGATAGCTGGGGCCGGGGGCTGGCGAGGCGGGCGGCCGGGCCCGGGATGCTGCTCGCGGGGCGGCACGGGCGGGTTCCCTCCAGGCAGCCTCAGCCCCGCTGCGCTTCCCATTTTCCCCGCTCCTTTCCCCGCTCCTTTGCACATTCAGCAAACGCTGCCTGCCAGGCGTGCAGAGCTGCAAGTTTATTAGGGAAACTGGGGTTTTTTTTGGCTGGCAGGGTGTGGGCTCCCAATTTAAAGCGGCGTTTGAGGAGACGCTCAGGGCTTCGGGGGAGCAGTGCCCGTGCTGCTGTGCGGAATTGCTGCAGGTTCAGCCGCTCCTTCCTTTTGGCTCGGGAATTATTTGGGGGGAAAAGTGGGGTTTGGGTGTCCCTGGGGTAAGAGGGGGATTCGGTGGGTGCCCTGATCCAGACACAGACCCTGCAGGGCAGCAAATCCATGCAGAGCTGCCGGCATCCCGAGGTGGGTGCTTGTCAGCGCACAAGCGTCCGCGTGGGAATTCTGGTTTTTTTCCTTATTAAAACTGCTCCCCCCAAGAAGAGCTTTTTCCAGCATGTGTTATGTTTACAACTGGTGCAAAGCTGGGCAGGATTTCAATGGAGATTAGAAATAACCTGTGAGGGTTTCCGATTTGCTCCCGCTTGCTAACTGAATAGCTGCATGTTGTAGGCACTATTAAAAAGCTATCCATCAGAGTGCAGTATGCTGAAATGAGCGTATATAAGCCCCACGGGGGAATATATACAGCTAGGTGCTATTAACTCTGAAGATATATGGCAGACTAGCGTATTCTGAGGCAACAAATTGGAGTTAAAGCTAATTGTAAATGGTAGCTCGGGCATTTCATTTTAGGGTTTTCACACAGCAGGTGAGACTCTATCCACTACCCAGGCTTCATCCGGCTGCCTTTAAACCAGCCGGAGGGAAGGAGGAGGTTTAACGTGTTGGTATTGATGTATCTGACATGACAGGGAAGATATGGGTCTTAACTCTAGTGTGGGCGAGTGGAAAAAAAACAAATATTGAGTAATAATTTCTACAGAGCTAAAATTAATCTGAGCTTTTATGTTTTCTAGGACAACTTGTCAGACAATGTAAACTAATTTGCTAAATTGCACAGGGAGAAAAAAAAGGAATGCATTAGCAGTATCTAATTTAGCTAGAGCGGAGTGTATTTTGATTCCTTTTAGTGCCTGATTCGAGTTTTGCCAGATGTTTGATAGGCAAGATAGGCAGCAGAGGTAGCCTTGTAAACAAATACGTGTATGTAAAGAGTTCATTTTAAGAGTAAGCTGCTGGAATTCGCTTTACACTCACAATGCAGGGCTGCAGAGTCACCTATGTTGTGTCAAATATTGTTCTYGGTTTGCACTGTCCATTATGAGCTACAGAAATTATATCTGAGCTTCACTTACTTTATGGCTCTGGCCTCACAAAACTGCATTTTTAGGTCATTTAAGGGTCCTGCAAGTTTTTATGCTAACAGTTTGCCAACTAGTATAATCTGAATAAGAACAACGAACCTACTTATATGGCCAATGGTTACCAACTAGTTCACATATTTTGTATTTAAAAGTTGGTGTGGATCTGAAATACAGAAATGAGGTGAATTTCAAGGGTAATTTCTGTACTGGCAGCAGTTTCCCTGGATGCCAAAGAAAACACGGTTCTAAAATTTCTAAAATATTCTGAAATATTCTGAAATAAAAGACCTTGCTTGCTGGTGGGCTCTCTGTAGGTGAAGTCAGAAAATGCCTGTAGTTGTCAGACAGACTCGTAAGTGTAGGTGAATGTCTTTGYGAAGATAACATTTAACACTCTGTATGTCAGAAAAGACAGAAATTCACACGGGTTTGGGCAATTCAGTCTTCAGGTGTCTTTATGGGACATTGTGCCGTACCACGAGCCTGAGGTGGTGTCTACAGAGCTTGGGTGGCTCCAGCTCCCCATTGAACTTGCCCTTGGTCCCAGCAGCGAGGTCCGAATGGCTCTTGCTGATGGTGGCTGTGGGGTCTGGTGAAAAGGCTTCTGCATTTGCAAAGGTATCAAGAGCAGAGGGAGCTCACCAGGCTTTGTTGGCAGCTCCAACCTGTCCCCATGTACCAGAGCAGCTCCTCTTGCAGTGGTGCTGAGAACCCTTCAGACCTTGGGGTCTGCCTGAACACGGGTTGATATGGTGTAATCTGAGTTTAAATATGTTCCCAAACAAGAGGTTTGACATATAAATACGGTGTGCTGAAACACCCAGCCCACCACAACACTAAATGCGATGTTAGAATCCCTCAGGAAAGAAGGATTTTGCCTGGGAGATCTTTAGGAGTTTGGGCAGGAGCTGTGCGAAGTAACCTTCATCCTCATTGAATTCAGCAGAATCTAGATATGGAGACAATTCCATATAGAAAGGTTATGTCCTTGGAGAATACATAACGCACTTCTGAGAAAAATAGCTTTTTGGGAAAATAGCTACTAGGTAAGAGTACTGATCATATCTCATCTTAAATATCRGTATAAGGAAGTGGGAGCTGATTAAACTTAGGCAATACCTCCTTTAAAGGTATGCCAAAATAAGGAAAGACAGTCATAGCCCAAAGTAGTGCTCAGAAAACCTGTGAATGGTGATAAAATTGTGCTAGTRAAACTGTTGGCTGTTACGGCATAGTTTTATGCAGAGCCTGAACCAGGTCATTTACCTGGACCTGTCTGAGGGAAGGCGAAGAGTAAAATATGTGTAATTTAGCTGAACAGGAGAGGAAAGGYGACATAAACCGCTCAGCAATGTGAAAACTGTGGATCAAGGGAAGGAGAGGAGCTCTTCACTGCAGCGTGAGGAGATGCGGTGGGTGGGAGGATAGTAAAGGCGCAGGTGGCTTGAGTAGAGGGAAATCCTACCTGCTGTAGGGTCTGTTTTGATAATATATAATATACTTATATATTATAAYAGGTATATAAATAATATAATTTATAATATTTATATATTTATATATTTATAATATATAAATAATCTCCATGGAGAGCCAAATGCAACTTTGCAGCTAAAACACCTAAGTAACATGGCAAGAAGCTGCGGGCCCAGGTGAATCTGTCCCGGAATGGACCCAACACTTGAACTTGGTTCTTATATCTCCACTGAAATCACTGTTATTTCAAACCCTCTGTTCTGTGGCRAGAAGATATTTGTACTAAAATCTCCGGGTTATTCTCAGAATTCAATGGAGTGTTTAAGGAGGCCTATTAAATTACAGGTGGTTAAAACAGCCAGAAACGAGAGTGTTTAACAGCACTATTAAATGCAAAGTGGAGCTAAGGTGCAGTTCCACACCAGGGATGCTGCCCAAACATCCTGGGAAGAAACAAGCCTGAAAATCCAGAAGAAAGGAGTAAAACTGCCCAGCAGTTCTTGCAGAGACTCTTCTGTCTGGGCAAGCAGGCTGCGCGTGGGGATTGGGGTAATCAATCCTCCRTGCCCAATTCTACCCGATGTTGCTGCAAGCAGCTAAGCTACTTGCATGCAGAGGCGCTTGGATGAGAGCCTCCCATCCCGTTTCCCAGCCCATCTCGGCACGGCGGGGCGACAACGCGCTTGCTGTGTGGAATTACAGCAAGCCCTTGTAAACYGCTTGGCAATAGCAGCGCCGTTCCCAGCCCCGATATCAGCCCCGTTCCCGGGCCCAAAGGRATCTGCTCAATGTCCCTGCCAAAACGGCCCTTCCTGGCCGGGCAGCCAGCGCTGGCAGAGCCTGCGGACTCTCTCATCCATGCAGGGCTTCCGTGGACCCCTTTGATAGGCARATATGTAACATATACCCAAAGCGTGAGCGATTTTCTCCTCGTCTTGTACCTGGCTTTGTTCTCTGCTGCTTGTTCCCTTGGACTCAAGCAAGCCTGGAAACTTGTGTARTTTTTCCAGCTGTTTCAGCTGGTGCAATAGGAGACACAGGCTCTAGCCACAAACTTGCCTTCCTCCMCAGCAGAGAAATGACTGGGAAGTCTGCACAGGTGATTTTGTCCCCTTTGTGGTTTCCGATTAAAATGGTTTTGTTTCCTGTGCTAGGAGCAGCTTGGGAAGGGTTGGTGCACTGAGGAACAGTCGCTGCAGGTAGTTGTCACCAGCTCAGCTGCAGACGAGCTACTGCTTTCTGCAAACCACTTCAGGGTAAGATGCAATAACACAGAGCATTGTAGAGCTTGCTATCAGTTCCTAGCAGTCTGTGGATACCTTTTGGATGTGTGCTGTGCATAGAAGATCAGTTCTCGCCCTTCAAAGCTCCAGCTGTTCTGCTGGGTACCTCCTGCTCTGGGATACGTAGACCCGAGGGGTGGCAGTCGGCTTTGGTTTGCTAGAAGCCAAGTGGCAGGGACTGTGTGTGTCAGGGGCAGCCTGCTCTGTGATTGCCACTGGCCAGGACAGCGAGAGGGCAGAAGCTCCTAGTTACAGAAGATGGAAGTGATTTTGAGCAGCCCCTAAGCAGGAGCGGATGACATTGTAAGAAACTCTTCCAGACTTTTGGTTTGTAAGTCATTCTCTACTACTTTGGTGAGCTAGCAGCAGAGAAATATCTTTATACTATGCACAGTCCTAGAATACATCCAAAAATGACATTTGATGTGTTTCTGATTGCCCTGAGAATGACCAGAAAGGAGGCAGATGATGATGCCCTCCTTGTGCTTCCCACCATGCCCACACGCTCTGCTGGACACCCACCCATATTACCCCAACTCTGTCGTGTTAATTAGCTGCATCTTGCCTAGTCTTGATAAGCACAAAGCAGACCAGGGAAGTTAACATCCAGGCCGTCCCACCTTGGAGGGCACTTTGGCCACCAGCCTCGGAGCCGTTTGTGCAGCGCCCAAGGCAGCTGAGCCAGGTCTCTCCTTTGCCATCCTTGGCATCATCCCAGGAAGGCCGGGTTTGGAAACCCAGCCCCAACGGGCTGCGGGCACCGTGGCTTGTGAGCAGGGTAGGCA